AGTCAGCTGTGTGCCTACTCCGGCTCCCTCCAGCTTCCCTCTCAGTAGTGCAGGCTGGATGGTGTTGAAAGCACTGGAGAAGTCAAAAAACATGATCCTCACAGGGCTCCCTGCTTGCTCTAGGTGAGAGAGAGATCGGTGTACCAGGTAGATGACAGCGTCATCCACCCCAATCCCAGACCGGTAGGTGAACTCCAAGGGGTCCTCGCTGAGCCCACCAGTTGGCGAAGGTGGTGCAGGATGAGCCTTTCTATGGTCTTCATCAGATGAGAAGTCAAGGCCACTGGCCTGAAGTGGTTGGGCTCCTTGGAGTGTGCGATTTTTGGCACCGGAACCACACAGGAAGGCTTTCACAGTTCAGGTACCCTCTCCAAATTCAGGCTCAGGTTGAAGATGTACAGGAATTCAGTTCTGGGGTCACCCACGGTTTATTGTTTGAGAAACACTGTACCTTCTTGGTAGGCACAGTGTTCTCAACACAGAAATTAATGTAATCTGTAATGCAGTGGGTGAGGGCGTCAATGTCCTCACGGTGAGGCTTGCAGAGTTCCTGGCAGTCTGTGCATTCAAAACAGTCTCTCAGGGCCTCACTGCATTCCTCAGACAACACCCTTATCACTTTCTTCGTGGGGGGTTTCCTCTTCACCATAGGGGTGTAAGTGGGGTGAAGAAGGACCAGGTTGTGGTCTGAGTGGTCAAGCAGGGTGAGGGGTGATGTGCTGTAAGCCTGCTTTGTGTTGGCAAACAATATGTCCAAAGTTTTTCTGTCCCTTTTATGGCAGTCAACATACTGGGAGAAGTTAGGGACACTGGCAGATAGTGAGGCATGAAAGAAGTCCCCAGAGATAATAATGAGGGACTGCGGATGTGCCATCTGTAGCTGAGAGACAGTGGAGTGAAAGTACTCACAGGCTGCCGTAGCGTCGGCCGAGGGTGGGATGTAAACAGTCAGCAAAATAACGTGTGAAAATTCCCTGGCCAGGTAGTATGGCCAGACACTCACCGCCAACAGTTCAATGTCTTTGGTACAGTGCTGTTCCTTCACAGTGATGTGTCCTGGGCAGAGATGGGCAGTAACGTGTTACAAGTAATACGTTACTGTAATCTGATTACTTTTTCAAGT